TGCAAATCTAGTGGGGATTTTGTTGTCAAGGACGATCTATGGCAATCGAGTATGTACTTACTCTGCAGGAGACAAAATTATGTCATGCACCTTGTTTTTAGGTTTACACACGGTGTACGTCTTGCAAACACCTCTCAACTCGACACATGTTGAAACTTCCTGGGAGATAAGTCATCAGCTGTCGCCACCTGGTGTGTACATTTGAGACCGTTCTTGCCCGTCAAACCCAATTTTTTATCTCTTACATTTAGAAATTTAGCACATGCAGACAGGGACACTTGTATGAGTAGAAACCTGAGGATACCACATCACCGTGTCTACAGTCTCCTCGTCATTCGTGATTGTGCACACCTATAGCTTTTTTAGAACAGCCCCATACAACCAGCCATTCATGTTGAAGTGTTGGTCGAATATATTATCGGACTACACGTGTCTGAAGTCTGGGTGTTTTGTGTAGCGCAAGATTGGAGCGGGGATGTGCCGTACAAACACGGCTCTTCTCCCATTTTGTTTCCCCTACTTTCCCTTTGAACTACTTGTGTACCCTCATGTTTTACATAGTCATTCGCAATATAAATTCTAGGATGACGGTCGTACAAAAATGATTGAAAGTGAATAGACAAGCCGATTCTCCATCACGCTTGGAACGCATCCGTAAAATAAACCTTTCTATGCATCAGGTTCTTTTTCGGAACCCTGTAACACCTGTACCTGAATTCCCAGCGCTTTCGCCAGCGGAAGGTATAAACTGGGCGTGCTGTGCCCATCATCCCCTGCATTCCGTACAATCCTCTACCTTTCCCTATTCGTAGTGTACAATTTATACTATTTGCAACTCATATGCATACTACTAAATGTCCTTGACATATCCAAGCAATGAACGAGTGTGCGGAATTGCAGATATCCATTGTGAGGAGGATGATCTCCTCCTCCCCCGATTCTAATTTCTTCATTACGCTTGAAACACATTCTCAAGACGAGCAATTTTATGCATCAGGGTCTTCCTGAGAACCCCGCCAACCCTGTGCCTGGACTTTGAGAACTTTTGCCAATGGAAGATGCGAGCACGGAATTGCCGCGCCCATTCAGTCCCTTGCATTTCTCGCTTCCTATATTCATAGTGTACAATTTCTATCAAGCTATGACTCGTAGGCGTATACCTACATATTTTAGACACTTCACAACGACGAACGAGCACAGTGGAGCGAGAACATTGGAAGTGAGGAGGATGATCTCCTCCTCCCCCGAATCTCATTTCACCATCTCACCTGAAACAACCTCTTGAAGCTGACAGTTCTACGTGTCAGGGTCCTCTTCAAAACCCTGCCAAGTATGTACCTGACCTTCCAGAACTTTTGTCAATGGAAGATACCAGCGTGCAGCGCGCAACGTACCAGTATTCCGAACCGCCCTCTAAGTTCCTCCATCCGTAATGCATCATTTTCGTCCAAGTGTAGCTCGCATGTATAGTTCTAAACCTATTCAACACTTCTCAACAATAAATAACAGTCGAGCACGCGAGAACGTACATGGAATTATAACTTCCTCCCCCTCCCCCAATTCCGTATCCATCGCGCTTGAAATGAATTAGCGAAACTGACGCTTTTACACGTCAGGGTCTTCCTTAGAACAATGCCATCTGCGTGCCTGGATACCTGTAACTCTCCGTTAGCGAAATATCACGGCGGGCGCGTTGTTTCCTGCATTTCGTACCATTCCTTACATTGCTCCATTTGCAGTTATGCCGGATGAACACGATAATATTTCACATATCTTTGCATAATTCCTTATTAGTATAAGTGGTTCGAAACATTAACAGAGCACAGTGGACGTACTTTCCGAGCAATGAGTAAGGATATGCTCCTCCTTCCCCGATTCTTCATCGCGCTTGAACTGCTCACACGGAAATTACATCTTGACGTGTCAGGGTTCTATTCGGGTAGTATCCCCGGTGTCCCTGCACTTGTGATATCAGAAGTTCTGGTGTAAGAAGTTTGTGAGCAGGGGTGTGTGCTCACCAAAGTACTTATCGTCCGAATTCACCATTGGTTTATGATACACTTGCGTGTTTCTGAGATAAAGGAAGAATTGAGAATTTACTCTTCGTGTCGTAGAATTATGACAACACTCACTTGGCTAGGAAGTACCAAAGCGCATCGATTCATTCGAGTGTAGATGGCCGCCGAAGGCGTCCTCATTCTCCTCTCCCGATTCCGAATTGAAAAACGGCATTCTGAACATTCAACTGTCAGAAATTTGTTGATCAAGGGTCTGATGTATGTACGTACTTTACTTGGCCTGTATTTTCTTCAAGCGTTCTGCGCCTTTCGCAAACGGGAGTGATTCCGCATAATGAAGATATCTATCTGTGTGCGTTAGTCGGTACTTCTTTCGCAAATGAATTGAATGTACTTCAAGTGATACCTAATAAAAAATTCACCAGACGAGGCCGGAGTGAATTAAGAAACCAATGGAATGGGTAGATACGAAACTTACGAAAAGATTGTTTCCTCCGTCCCCGGTTCCTAGGATCTGAACCCTGCACGAAACGAGACCCTTCTTCCGTAAAGATTTTGCGTCACGTCACAACCCGGCTACTTACCGCGCAAGCGAGAAGAGCTATAAAGACGGGGTAGTCAGTCCAATATCTTTCATCAGCACCCACTTACATACGTTCTCCTCCCTCCTTTCGATGTCGACGTCCACTCCCTTCTCCTCGTCGTCCTCCAATCGTCGTCGTCACGCTGGTAAGTCGTCTGCTCGTCGTCCATCGTTGCTGGTGTTGACGTTGCGTACCGAGTTTTTAAACCCCTCCTTCAATGCGAAGACGTGACGGAATGCTAAATGGCAACCAGGTATGTCAACGTCTCTTTCGTCATAGACAACGTTTCACTCACCTTTGCTTATATCCTTTTTTCTGCAGACTCGTGGTGATGCTGCTGATGACCACGGTAAGTTTTCGTTAACGGGAGTGCTGCATCCGGCTTACTTACCACGCTGCTCTTGCCCCTCAGGTTCCCCATCATCGACTTGTCCGCATCGTTTACACGGAACCTCGACTACCGCTTCGTGACGTGTAGCTTGGATGGGCGGAATACGCGTTGGGAGGTGTGAAGGTCGTGAATACGTCGGTTCTACAAAAAGTACGTCAGTCTCGTCCACTTCACCTCGAGTATACAGTCTTTACTCACCTGAAAACCTGTACCCAGGAGCGTTAGTCGCGTCTTCCGCGTAACGAGCGCCCTGGGCCATCGTTGAGACCCTGAAAAGGTTCGTCAACGTCGTTCCGCGTTTGAATTATTCACTTACCTGTGTCTTATAGTGTCTACCTCGTTTACAATGGCATCATAACCTACAAAAGTAAGTCGTCGACACGAATCTCGATAGACATCAACTGACCTGAGTTGTGTCTGAAGTTGGATGATGGGCGTTGTGGCTGTGGGAAACGATGAGGACGACATCAATGTGTAACGTGTGACGCTGACGATGGTGACTTACCTCTGACCACAACCACGATAGCCGCCAACATCGCCCATTCGACTGGGATTGCCGTACACGAAGCCATCAGCGTTGGCGCCTTCAAGATGTAGCACTAGATGCGACGTATGCTCGAGAAGTCGAGGATGTATGCCGGTAAGTCGTGAACAGCGCATTGACAAGTTTTGTGAACACTTACCGTGATTGTCCACCATCAATTAGACGTCGACAACGATTCGAAGAAGTTGGTCGTTGAGGGAAGCGAGTGGATAGACGAGCATGTGGTGTAGAGAAACGGAGCGGAAAGCATGGTATGTGCCCCCTGACGTCGTGTACATTTTCCTCCACCTCATCCCTCCCTCTCCCTCTCCGTTCCCAGGCCAACAACTCTTCCACCCGCGCAAAATCGGCACATTCGCGGAACTCTACGTTCCCCCCATTCCGCTACGCCAAACGTGCACACCTAACAAATGCCATGGCACGCAGGAGGCAAGGTGTCCACGTCCCATCCCAACGTCAACTTTCTCGGACGTCGTTACGAGCACACTGAAGACCGCCTTTTGCGTGGGCAGCTCGAGCTTGGCCTAGGCTACCAAGGCCCTTTTGTTAGTGACGACACGCCGCTGCATTACTGTGATGTGAGGGGTGGGTTTGGGGAACAGAAGGTCCGCGTTACGAGTAGGAGTGGTCGATTCGGAAGTGATGATTTGAGTATGAACGTTGGGTACCGACGCATTAGGACAAGTAGGGAATACTGATATTCTGCGTGGTTGCTGGGATGGTTATATGATAGTACTTAGAGTCACTACGTCGTAGTTCCCGCAACTTTACACAAATGCTACAACTGAAAAGAGGAGATTCAGCCTTCAATGATTGAATAAAGGTGAGTGGCACCGATGTTGTGGAGGACGTGTCTTGAGTTGCAGGCGTAAGAGGTGAATGTGGTAATGCCGCGTTGTGCTTTGTTTCCCTTGGCTTGCACAAGTTCACGATGAGCCAAGCCCAGGTGGTTGTTATAAGGACCAACGGCGCTCAACCATCCTTGTCTCCACTCATCTTTCCTTTCTTTTCCTTTCTTTCTCACTCCTTCATTCTTTATTCATTCAACACGCTCAGGTCGTGCCACTATTAGTTACCATTTAGACAATGGCTTTCTCAATTCAAAAGTCTTTCCTTCCTCTCCTCGTCACTGTCCTCCTCGCAACCATCTCCTCGGTCCAGGCGACCCCTTATCCCTCTTGTTCAAAGCACGCGACTCATAGGGTTAGGCATGTTGGCAGAGGGTTGAAACTTGAGGTGTATCATCCCAAGAACACGTTCAAGGTCTGTCTCTTTCCTACTACTCCTATTGTTATTTTTTATATTGACGCGCGCTGGTTTGTTGATAGACGTACGGCGCGGACGGTGCACCCTCCTCGTCATCCTTCACTGGATCCAGTGAACCGCTCAACGAGTCCGCCATGTCATTCATCTCATCCACCGGCGTCGATCCCAAGCATATGGCTTGGAAGTCTGGGTATACAGAGGGCGAAGCTAGGTTTGCATACATCAAGCAGTCTTATGTACGTGCCACCCTCCGTTATCTTCGAAATCCACCAACATATCTTTACTACAGAACGGAGTCCCATTCGCCAACGCAGTCGCGAACGTCGCCTTTCACGGTGACAAAGTCGTTTCCTACGGGTCTTCCTTTGTCGATCCCAAGACAGGTACGTCCCTCCCCTCTCTCTCTCTCTCTCAATGCCTTACCAACTCCCGCCATCCAGCCCAAATCGCCCCCTCCACCCCCTCCATAACCTGGAAATCCGCCCTCCCCGCCATCGAATCCGCCTGGAAGGAAACACAACGGCTAGGACCAACACTCGAAATCCTCGTCAAACCCGAGGGTTCCGTCGCCCTCACGCACGTCCTTCAAATTNCGGAACGAGGAGACCGATGCGTGGTATGAGGCGTTCATTGATGGGCATAGTGGGGAGTTGATCAGCGTTACTGATTTCGTTGCTCATGCTTCTGTATGTTCTTTTTTCTTCTTGTTGTGGTGTTCGGCCCCGCTCATGCTTTACGCAGTACACCGTCCTCCCGATCACGAAACAAACCTTCCCAGAAGGCCTCGAAACGCTACGCGATCCAGAAGATCTCCAATCCTCCCCTTTGGGGTGGCACAACACTGGTTCGGGAAACTCGACAACCACAGCGTACGTCCCCTTTCTCTCCCTCTTCTATCCACACCCCTCCTTATTATTTTATATAGCGGAAACAACGTCATATCCTTCAAGTCTTCCCAAACCGCCACATCCACCCAAACCTCCGCAAACCTAAACTTCAACAGAGTCTACACAGACTCCCAAGATCCCACCACATCATCCAACATCGACGCCGCCAAAACAAACGCGTTTTATATTATTAATACTATGCATGACTTTGCGTATCGGTATGGGTTTACGGAAAAGGCGTTTAATTTCCAGCAGAGTAATCTTGGGAAGGGCGGGAAGGAGGGGGATAGGGTTTTGATGAGTGTGCAGGATGCGTCGGGGGTTAATAATGCGAATTTCGCTACGCCGCCTGAGTGAGTTTCTGAGTCGTTTTTGGGAAGGATGGATGAGCTGATGATGCGGTGGATGGTAGTGGGCAGTCGGGGCAATGTAGGATGTTCATCTGGACACTTACCAACGTGGGTCCTCTTTTTTTTTTCGCTTTTCACCAGCGTTTTTGACACTTTGTCTTCTTTTTAGCCCCGCCGTGATGGAACGATGGAGAACGATATTGTGATCCATGAGATGACCCATGGGATTACTAACCGTATGACGGGGGGTGGTACCGGGCGGTGCTTGCAGACTACAGAGTCGGGTGGGATGGGTGAGGGGTGGAGTGATGCTATGGCCGAGTACGTTCCCCTCCACTTTCCCCAACCCCCTTCCCTCTCCCCGTTAAACACCTCACTAACCCCTTCCCACCAGCTGGATGGCCCAATCCTCCGGAACCACAAAAGACTTCATCGTCGGCCAATACGTCGCGAACCGCGCCAAAGGCATCCGGTCGTTCCCCTACTCGACCTCCGCAACCACCAACCCCCTTCGGTACTCGAGTTTGCAGAAGCTCACGGAGGTGCATGATATTGGGGAGGTGTGGGCTAATATGTTGCATCAGGTGTACGCTGCGCTTGTAGCTGCACGCGGGTTTTCGAGTAATAAGTTGACGGATGCGGGTGCGAAGGAGGGGAATGTTGTGTTTATGAGGGTTATGATGGATGCACTTGCTATTCAGCCTTGTAATCCGACTTGTGCGTTTCTCTTTCCTTTCCTTGCTCCCTTTGTTTTCGGTGCTTTCTTTTCTCTTTTCCTTCCTCTTTATTTTATGCTCCGAACGCTGACGCTGACATTCTTTTTTTCAGTCATCCAGGCACGCGACGCGATAATTCAAGCCGACCAGAACAGGTTCAACGGGGTGAATAAGTGTATTATTGCCAAGGCGTTGCGAGCCGTGGACTGGGTGAAGGCGACTGCGAAGTGGA